TCACCATCTATAGGGGTGGCTTTTAGGGGTGCGAGCGCCGCATGTGGATAATGGATTTTGGTTGGGTATATTTTTAGAGAATTTTTGGCGGTATTTTTAAGAAAAAAGCCGAACACCAAAGGGTGAAAAATGACACTTTTATTTTCACCACCTATAGGGGTGGCTTTTAGGGGTGCGAGCGCCGCATGTGGATAATGGATTTTGGTTGGGTATATTTTTAGAGAATTTTTGGCGGTATTTTTAAGAAAAAAGCCGAACACCAAAGGGTGAAAAATGACACTTTTATTTTTCACCATCTATAGGGGTGGCTTTTAGGGGTGCGAGCGCCGCATGTGGATAATGGATTTTGGTTGGGTATATTTTTAGAGAATTTTTGGCGGTATTTTTAAGAAAAAAGCCGAACACCAAAGAGTGAAAAATGACACTTTTATTTTTCACCATCTATAGGGGTGGCTTTTAGGGGTGCGAGCGCCGCATGTGGATAATGGATTTTGGTTGGGTATATTTTTAGAGAATTTTTGGCGGTATTTTTAAGAAAAAAGCCGAACACCAAAGGGTGAAAAATGACACTTTTATTTTCACCACCTATAGGGGTGGCTTTTAGGGGTGCGAGCGCCGCATGTGGATAATGGATTTTGGTTGGGTATATTTTTAGAGAATTTTTGGCGGTATTTTTAAGAAAAAAGCCGAACACCAAAGGGTGAAAAATGACACTTTTATTTTTCACCACCTATAGGGGTGGCTTTTAGGGGTGCGAGCGCCGCATGTGGATAATGGATTTTGGTTGGGTATATTTTTAGAGAATTTTTGGCGGTATTTTTAAGAAAAAAGCCGAACACCAAAGGGTGAAAAATGACACTTTTATTTTCACCACCTATAGGGGTGGCTTTTAGGGGTGCGAGCGCCGCATGTGGATAATGGATTTTGGTTGGGTATATTTTTAGAGAATTTTTGGCGGTATTTTTAAGAAAAAAGCCGAACACCAAAGGGTGAAAAATGACACTTTTATTTTCACCACCTATAGGGGTGGCTTTTAGGGGTGCGAGCGCCGCATGTGGATAATGGATTTTGGTTGGGTATATTTTTAGAGAATTTTTGGCGGTATTTTTAAGAAAAAAGCCGAACACCAAAGGGTGAAAAATGACACTTTTATTTTCACCATCTATAGGGGTGGCTTTTAGGGGTGCGAGCGCCGCATGTGGATAATGGATTTTGGTTGGGTATATTTTTAGAGAATTTTTGGCGGTATTTTTAAGAAAAAAGCCGAACACCAAAGGGTGAAAAATGACACTTTTATTTTCACCACCTATAGGGGTGGCTTTTAGGGGTGCGAGCGCCGCATGTGGATAATGGATTTTGGTTGGGTATATTTTTAGAGAATTTTTGGCGGTATTTTTAAGAAAAAAGCCGAACACCAAAGAGTGAAAAATGACACTTTTATTTTTCACCATCTATAGGGGTGGCTTTTAGGGGTGCGAGCGCCGCATGTGGATAATGGATTTTGGTTGGGTATATTTTTAGAGAATTTTTGGCGGTATTTTTAAGAAAAAAGCCGAACACCAAAGGGTGAAAAATGACACTTTTATTTTCACCACCTATAGGGGTGGCTTTTAGGGGTGCGAGCGCCGCATGTGGATAATGGATTTTGGTTGGGTATATTTTTAGAGAATTTTTGGCGGTATTTTTAAGAAAAAAGCCGAACACCAAAGGGTGAAAAATGACACTTTTATTTTTCACCACCTATAGGGGTGGCTTTTAGGGGTGCGAGCGCCGCATGTGGATAATGGATTTTGGTTGGGTATATTTTTAGAGAATTTTTGGCGGTATTTTTAAGAAAAAAGCCGAACACCAAAGGGTGAAAAATGACACTTTTATTTTCACCACCTATAGGGGTGGCTTTTAGGGGTGCGAGCGCCGCATGTGGATAATGGATTTTGGTTGGGTATATTTTTAGAGAATTTTTGGCGGTATTTTTAAGAAAAAAGCCGAACACCAAACGTGGAAAAATGACACTTTTATTTTCACCATCTATAGGGGTGGCTTTTAGGGGTGCGAGCGCCGCATGTGGATAATGGATTTTGGTTGGGTATATTTTTAGAGAATTTTTGGCGGTATTTTTAAGAAAAAAGCCGAACACCAAAGGGTGAAAAATGACACTTTTATTTTTCACCACCTATAGGGGTGGCTTTTAGGGGTGCGAGCGCCGCATGTGGATAATGGATTTTGGTTGGGTATATTTTTAGAGAATTTTTGGCGGTATTTTTAAGAAAAAAGCCGAACACCAAAGAGTGAAAAATGACACTTTTATTTTTCACCATCTATAGGGGTGGCTTTTAGGGGTGCGAGCGCCGCATGTGGATAATGGATTTTGGTTGGGTATATTTTTAGAGAATTTTTGGCGGTATTTTTAAGAAAAAAGCCGAACACCAAAGGGTGAAAAATGACACTTTTATTTTTCACCATCTATAGGGGTGGCTTTTAGGGGTGCGAGCGCCGCATGTGGATAATGGATTTTGGTTGGGTATATTTTTAGAGAATTTTTGGCGGTATTTTTAAGAAAAAAGCCGAACACCAAAGGGTGAAAAATGACACTTTTATTTTCACCATCTATAGGGGTGGCTTTTAGGGGTGCGAGCGCCGCATGTGGATAATGGATTTTGGTTGGGTATATTTTTAGAGAATTTTTGGCGGTATTTTTAAGAAAAAAGCCGAACACCAAAGGGTGAAAAATGACACTTTTATTTTCACCACCTATAGGGGTGGCTTTTAGGGGTGCGAGCGCCGCATGTGGATAATGGATTTTGGTTGGGTATATTTTTAGAGAATTTTTGGCGGTATTTTTAAGAAAAAAGCCGAACACCAAAGGGTGAAAAATGACACTTTTATTTTTCACCACCTATAGGGGTGGCTTTTAGGGGTGCGAGCGCCGCATGTGGATAATGGATTTTGGTTGGGTATATTTTTAGAGAATTTTTGGCGGTATTTTTAAGAAAAAAGCCGAACACCAAAGGGTGAAAAATGACACTTTTATTTTAATCATCTATAGGGGTGGCTTTTAGGGGTGAGAGCGCCGCATGTGGATAATGGATTTTGGTTGGGTATATTTTTAGAGAATTTTTGGCGGTATTTTTAAGAAAAAAGCCGAACACCAAACGTGGAAAATTGACACTTTTATTTTCACCATCTATAGGGGTGGCTTTTAGGGGTGCGAGCGCCGCATGTGGATAATGGATTTTGGTTGGGTATATTTTTAGAGAATTTTTGGCGGTATTTTTAAGAAAAAAGCCGAACACCAAAGGGTGAAAAATGACACTTTTATTTTTCACCACCTATAGGGGTGGCTTTTAGGGGTGCGAGCGCCGCATTTGGATAATGGATTTTGGTTGGGTATATTTTTAGAGAATTTTTGGCGGTATTTTTAAGAAAAAAGCCGAACACCAAAGGGTGAAAAATGACACTTTTATTTTAATCATCTATAGGGGTGGCTTTTAGGGGTGCGAGCGCCGCATGTGGATAATGGATTTTGGTTGGGTATATTTTTAGAAAATTTTTGGGGGTATTTTTAAGAAAAAAGCCGAACACCAAATTGTTGTATTTGGACATTCTTTTTTTCTCAATAGACATAATATGATTAAGGGTTGTTTTCACCCTTAATGTGAATAGTTTTGGTTTTTTATTGATAATTATTGTATTATTAACTATTCTGAGTGATGTTATTGGGTTTTTATTAGTAAATGAAAAAAAAAATTTTCGTTCATTTGATCGTTCCAAACTTTTGTCTCATGGCAATCTCAGATTGGACCGTACATTTCAAAAGTCCCGGTTGTGCCTGACTTCAGGATCATGCCTGAATTTATAAATTCATACCATTGGGCGCGAGTTTACACAAAGATACAAGTAAAAAAATTTTTTAATTATATTGTTATAACATTTTTTAATTTATAATGTTATTATTAATATTTATTTTCTTAAATTAAACTTTAATCATTTAAATTTATATTAACCTATAAGAAAAAAACATATTATTTAGTTTCCATGTATTCTAAAGGCGCTTGTATACCTCACCGATCCCGAGTATTCTATCGTCGTGCAGCATTGGAGTAAAAGAGACAAAAGATAATTGTGTCTCTTTTACTCCAATGGTACACGACGGAAGTATACTCGGGATCGGTGAGGTATACAAGCGCCTTAAAGGTACAACGAGAGTAAGAATGCATTTAAGGGTCCGCGCACAGTTGCAGTCAACCAAGCTGTGAGTGTTCCTTAAGGTACGCGCACAGTTGTAAAGTTGGGTTTACAATTGACACGTTCGAACGCAGGCCTATGACGTCACGCGACACGTTCTCATAAAGGTGCTTCTCCATGGGCCCGTTCATACGTGGTACGTTTTACGTGGGACGTATGACGTCACACGACATGTTTTCATAAAGGTGCTTCTCCGTGGGCCTGTTCATACGTGTACGTTCTATGTGACGTCATACATCAGCACGTATCAATTTTACGTGACTTTACAATTGTACATCCATCTTAACGGCATGCATCAGCCGAGCTTTGAGTATTCCTTAGGGTACACGCACAGTTAAAATGACATGTAAATTAATAAAGTTAAACAAACTCGACCTGTGACTTACATGCTAATACGTTCTACGTGGGACGTATGACGTCACACGACATGTTTTCATAAAGGTGCTTCTCCGTGGGTCTGTTCATACGTGTACGTTCTATGTGACGTCATACATCAGCACGTATCAATTTTACGTGACTTTACAATTGTACATCCATCTTAACGGCATGCATCAGCCGAGCTTTGAGTATTCCTTAGGGTACACGCACAGTTAAAATGACATGTAATAGTTGAGTTTTATGTATTCCTTAGGGTACGCACACAGTTGTTTCTTTCTTACTCTTGTTGTGTCTAACTGTAACATTAAGCTGCTTCCACAATACCTTTTTTTTCCATTTACATACAGTATTGTAAAATTTATTTCTTTTGTTAACAGGATGAGAAGCAATTTAAAAAAATAGCCACACCCAAGACAACAAAAATAACGTACCCAACGGAAGTGCAACATCGAATGCCTGGTGAAACATTATCATCATTTGTTACTTCCGCAAAAGGATCTTCCACAACAAAATTAATTTTCAATAAAAGACTAACAGATACACAAACTCAGACTACACAACTAAACGAGACAGTAGCACAAAAAATATTAAAAACACAAACTGCAACACAATCAAAACCAAAGACAATTACAAATAGACAAACTCTAATTCAATCAAAACCAAAGACTTTAACACAAACTCTAGCACAACCAAACCAAAAACCTAAAATAATTAAAAATACACAAATATCAAGGCTAGTAAAACAAACAGAAACACAAATAAAACAAATACCAACACAACAAAAATTAAGTAAAAAACAAATACCAAAAACTCAAAGCACTACAAGTATAAAAACCTTAACAAAATTTAAACAGCCTGAAACACCAAAACCAATAACAAATCGGAAAAATTTAAAGAAACAAGTACCAACAAAAAAAACATTACAGAAAACAAAACTTAATTTACGATTTACACCACCACGCACACCACCAACACCTACTAAAGAGGAAGTACAAAATTTTGTTGTACCATTACACCTTTCACCACCAGCACCTCCAATAAGCCCACTACGACAAACACCACCACGACAAACACTACCACAAACAGAAACAGAAATAAATGCACAATTAGACAACCAAATTTTAAATATTTACAATAATCTACAAAAATTCAGGCATTTTAGGGGTGCGAGCGCCGCATGTGGATAATGGATTTTGGTTGGGTATATTTTTAGAGAATTTTTGGCGGTATTTTTAAGAAAAAAGCCGAACACCAAAGGGTGAAAAATGACACTTTTATTTTTCACCACCTATAGGGGTGGCTTTTAGGGGTGCGAGCGCCGCATGTGGATAATGGATTTTAGTTGGGTATATTTTTAGAGAATTTTTGGCGGTATTTTTAAGAAAAAAGCCGAACACCAAAGGGTGAAAAATGACACTTTTATTTTCACCACCTATAGGGGTGGCTTTTAGGGGTGCGAGCGCCGCATGTGGATAATGGATTTTGGTTGGGTATATTTTTAGAGAATTTTTGGCGGTATTTTTAAGCAAAAAGCCGAACACCAAAGGGTGAAAAATGACACTTTTATTTTTCACCATCTATAGGGGTGGCTTTGAGGGGTGCGAGCGCCGCATGTGGATAATGGATTTTGGTTGGGTATATTTTTAGAGAATTTTTGGCGGTATTTTTAAGAAAAAAGCCGAACACCAAAGGGTGAAAAATGACACTTTTATTTTCACCACCTATAGGGGTGGCTTTTAGGGGTGCGAGCGCCGCATGTGGATAATGGATTTTGGTTGGGTATATTTTTAGAGAATTTTTGGCGGTATTTTTAAGAAAAAAGCCGAACACCAAACGTGGAAAAATGACACTTTTATTTTCACCATCTATAGGGGTGGCTTTTAGGGGTGCGAGCGCCGCATGTGGATAATGGATTTTGGTTGGGTATATTTTTAGAGAATTTTTGGCGGTATTTTTAAGAAAAAAGCCGAACACCAAAGGGTGAAAAATGACACTTTTATTTTTCACCACCTATAGGGGTGGCTTTTAGGGGTGCGAGCGCCGCATGTGGATAATGGATTTTGGTTGGGTATATTTTTAGAGAATTTTTGGCGGTATTTTTAAGAAAAAAGCCGAACACCAAAGAGTGAAAAATGACACTTTTATTTTTCACCATCTATAGGGGTGGCTTTTAGGGGTGCGAGCGCCGCATGTGGATAATGGATTTTGGTTGGGTATATTTTTAGAGAATTTTTGGCGGTATTTTTAAGAAAAAAGCCGAACACCAAAGGGTGAAAAATGACACTTTTATTTTTCACCATCTATAGGGGTGGCTTTTAGGGGTGCGAGCGCCGCATGTGGATAATGGATTTTGGTTGGGTATATTTTTAGAGAATTTTTGGCGGTATTTTTAAGAAAAAAGCCGAACACCAAAGGGTGAAAAATGACACTTTTATTTTCACCATCTATAGGGGTGGCTTTTAGGGGTGCGAGCGCCGCATGTGGATAATGGATTTTGGTTGGGTATATTTTTAGAGAATTTTTGGCGGTATTTTTAAGAAAAAAGCCGAACACCAAAGGGTGAAAAATGACACTTTTATTTTTCACCACCTATAGGGGTGGCTTTTAGGGGTGCGAGCGCCGCATGTGGATAATGGATTTTGGTTGGGTATATTTTTAGAGAATTTTTGGCGGTATTTTTAAGAAAAAAGCCGAACACCAAACTTGGAAAAATGACACTTTTATTTTCACCACCTATAGGGGTGGCTTTTAGGGGTGCGAGCGCCGCATGTGGATAATGGATTTTGGTGGGGTATATTTTTAGAGAATTTTTGGCGGTATTTTTAAGAAAAAAGCCGAACACCAAAGGGTGAAAAATGACACTTTTATTTTAATCATCTATAGGGGTGGCTTTTAGGGGTGCGAGCGCCGCATTTGGATAATGGATTTTGGTTGGGTATATTTTTAGAGAATTTTTGGCGGTATTTTTAAGAAAAAAGCCGAACACCAAACGTGGAAAATTGACACTTTTATTTTCACCATCTATAGGGGTGGCTTTTAGGTGTGCGAGCGCCGCATGTGGATAATGGATTTTGGTTGGGTATATTTTTAGAGAATTTTTGGCGGTATTTTTAAGAAAAAAGCCGAACACCAAAGGGTGAAAAATGACACTTTTATTTTTCACCACCTATAGGGGTGGCTTTTAGGGGTGCGAGCGCCGCATGTGGATAATGGATTTTGGTTGGGTATATTTTTAGAGAATTTTTGGCGGTATTTTTAAGAAAAAAGCCGAACACCAAACGTGGAAAAATGACACTTTTATTTTCACCATCTATAGGGGTGGCTTTTAGGGGTGCGAGCGCCGCATGTGGATAATGGATTTTGGTTGGGTATATTTTTAGAGAATTTTTGGCGGTATTTTTAAGAAAAAAGCCGAACACCAAAGGGTGAAAAATGACACTTTTATTTTTCACCACCTATAGGGGTGGCTTTTAGGGGTGCGAGCGCCGCATGTGGATAATGGATTTTGGTTGGGTATATTTTTAGAGAATTTTTGGCGGTATTTTTAAGAAAAAAGCCGAACACCAAAGAGTGAAAAATGACACTTTTATTTTTCACCATCTATAGGGGTGGCTTTTAGGGGTGCGAGCGCCGCATGTGGATAATGGATTTTGGTTGGGTATATTTTTAGAGAATTTTTGGCGGTATTTTTAAGAAAAAAGCCGAACACCAAAGGGTGAAAAATGACACTTTTATTTTTCACCATCTATAGGGGTGGCTTTTAGGGGTGCGAGCGCCGCATGTGGATAATGGATTTTGGTTGGGTATATTTTTAGAGAATTTTTGGCGGTATTTTTAAGAAAAAAGCCGAACACCAAAGGGTGAAAAATGACACTTTTATTTTCACCATCTATAGGGGTGGCTTTTAGGGGTGCGAGCGCCGCATGTGGATAATGGATTTTGGTTGGGTATATTTTTAGAGAATTTTTGGCGGTATTTTTAAGAAAAAAGCCGAACACCAAAGGGTGAAAAATGACACTTTTATTTTTCACCACCTATAGGGGTGGCTTTTAGGGGTGCGAGCGCCGCATTTGGATAATGGATTTTGGTTGGGTATATTTTTAGAGAATTTTTGGCGGTATTTTTAAGAAAAAAGCCGAACACCAAAGGGTGAAAAATGACACTTTTATTTTTCACCACCTATAGGGGTGGCTTTTAGGGGTGCGAGCGCCGCATGTGGATAATGGATTTTGGTGGGGTATATTTTTAGAAAATTTTTGGGGGTATTTTTAAGAAAAAAGCCGAACACCAAATTGTTGTATTTGGACATTCTTTTTTTCTCAATAGACATAATATGATTAAGGGTTGTTTTCACCCTTAATGTGAATAGTTTTGGTTTTTTATTGATAATTATTGTATTATTAACTATTCTGAGTGATGTTATTGGGTTTTTATTAGTAAATGAAAAAAAAAAATTTTCGTTCATTTGATCGTTCCAAACTTTTGTCTCATGGCAATCTCAGATTGGACCGTACATTTCAAAAGTCCCGGTTGTGCCTGACTTCAGGATCATGCCTGAATTTATAAATTCATACCATTGGGCGCGAGTTTACACAAAGATACAAGTAAAAAAATTTTTTAATTATATTGTTATAACATTTTTTAATTTATAATGTTATTATTAATATTTATTTTCTTAAATTAAACTTTAATCATTTAAATTTATATTAACCTATAAGAAAAAAACATATTATTTAGTTTCCATGTATTCTAAAGGTACAACGAGAGTAAGAATGCATTTAAGGGTCCGCGCACAGTTGCAGTCAACCAAGCTGTGAGTGTTCCTTAAGGTACGCGCACAGTTGTAAAGTTGGGTTTACAATTGACACGTTCGAACGCAGGCCTATGACGTCACGCGACACGTTCTCATAAAGGTGCTTCTCCATGGGCCCGTTCATACGTGGTACGTTTTACGTGGGACGTATGACGTCACACGACATGTTTTCATAAAGGTGCTTCTCCGTGGGCCTGTTCATACGTGTACGTTCTATGTGACGTCATACATCAGCACGTATCAATTTTACGTGACTTTACAATTGTACATCCATCTTAACGGCATGCATCAGCCGAGCTTTGAGTATTCCTTAGGGTACACGCACAGTTAAAATGACATGTAAATTAATAAAGTTAAACAAACTCGACCTGTGACTTACATGCTAATACGTTCTACGTGGGACGTATGACGTCACACGACATGTTTTCATAAAGGTGCTTCTCCGTGGGTCTGTTCATACGTGTACGTTCTATGTGACGTCATACATCAGCACGTATCAATTTTACGTGACTTTACAATTGTACATCCATCTTAACGGCATGCATCAGCCGAGCTTTGAGTATTCCTTAGGGTACACGCACAGTTAAAATGACATGTAATAGTTGAGTTTTATGTATTCCTTAGGGTACGCACACAGTTGTTTCTTTCTTACTCTTGTTGTGTCTAACTGTAACATTAAGCTGCTTCCACAATACCTTTTTTTTCCATTTACATACAGTATTGTAAAATTTATTTCTTTTGTTAACAGGATGAGAAGCAATTTAAAAAAATAGCCACACCCAAGACAACAAAAATAACGTACCCAACGGAAGTGCAACATCGAATGCCTGGTGAAACATTATCATCATTTGTTACTTCCGCAAAAGGATCTTCCACAACAAAATTAATTTTCAATAAAAGACTAACAGATACACAAACTCAGACTACACAACTAAACGAGACAGTAGCACAAAAAATATTAAAAACACAAACTGCAACACAATCAAAACCAAAGACAATTACAAATAGACAAACTCTAATTCAATCAAAACCAAAGACTTTAACACAAACTCTAGCACAACCAAACCAAAAACCTAAAATAATTAAAAATACTCAAATATCAAGGCTAGTAAAACAAACAGAAACACAAATAAAACAAATACCAACACAACAAAAATTAAGTAAAAAACAAATACCAAAAACTCAAAGCACTACAAGTATAAAAACCTTAACAAAATTTAAACAGCCTGAAACACCAAAACCAATAACAAATCGGAAAAATTTAAAGAAACAAGTACCAACAAAAAAAACATTACAGAAAACAAAACTTAATTTACGATTTACACCACCACGCACACCACCAACACCTACTAAAGAGGAAGTACAAAATTTTGTTGTACCATTACACCTTTCACCACCAGCACCTCCAATAAGCCCACTACGACAAACACCACCACGACAAACACTACCACAAACAGAAACAGAAATAAATGCACAATTAGACAACCAAATTTTAAATATTTACAATAATCTACAAAAATTCAGGCATGATTCCCTCAGAAAATTTAAATAATGTTAAAAATATCATTTTTTTATTCCTTTTTTTAATCATTTTTTTATATACCATTTTTTTTGTGATATTCATATATATATTTAAGTTGTTTCTTTTTGAGATTTTAGTTAAGATCTTTATTCTTATTATTACTAGTATTATTATTATTATTATAATTAGTATTATTATAACTATTATGATTACAAGTATTATTATTATTATTATTATTATTATTATTATTGTTATATATAGTATTATTAAAATAAGATTGTAATTTTTCAATTTTATAGATATTTTTATACAATGAAAATATATATTTTTTTTGATACCAAAATAAATTTATGACTTTTTATTATATGAAATAGGTAAACAATTAAAACTCATATTTAAATTTGTAATTTTTCATTTTTTATTATTAATATAAAAAAATAGTTTTTTTATACATATAAATAACATTTATATTTAAGCATTTTCTTTAAATTCCATATTATTATACGGTCTTCCAAGGTAGACCATTTGGAGCGTATTGTTGGATGCTGCCTCCATCATTGATGTCCAGGTGTCAGGTTCAAGTTCAAAATGTTTGTAAAATCGGCTAGGCAGGAAGACGTTGAAAGTTTTGTTGATTTCCGCAACGACTCTATCACCATATTTTGACTGAACCTTTTTAAGCTTCGTGATAGCCCTGCTAAAAATAAAATCAGAATTCAGTCTCAAAACGTCAGAAATCCTGACATTTTAAGACTATTCTGAAGTTTTGTGATGCTGCTGACTAATTCTGACTAAAATTGATTTTATGAGCCTGACGTTTTCTGAAAACTGACTATTGCTCACTGCATTTTGTGGGCAGGTCAATTTTTTTCTGAAAGGATCCCAAGGGGCTCAAGGCCACAGCAACCCTTATTGTGGAGGTTTATTATATTTAAAAAGTAATTAAATTCGTAATGAAAATTTTTTCTTTATTTTTAATAATATCGATATGAAAAAAAGATACTTGAAAAGCTTAGTTGTCCACAAATTCAGATATCTAAAAATTTCCCTAAAAATTTTGAAATTAAAAAAAATAATTATGATTTTACTCTAGTTTTTATAAATATTTTAAGATATTTATGATACTAAAAGATTTTTAAGTTATCTTATATCTATATATAATTGAAATTTAAAATATTTTTTGCATTTAAAAATATTGTTTAAAATTTTTATTTTCCATTATTAGAATATACATAAATAATTTAACACCAAATACTCATTATACATGACATTTTTTAGTAGTAAATATATTCAAAGTACGTAAAACGTATACTTGAAAGTTTAATAACTAGTCAATTACATAAATAATTGATTATGTAACTGAAAACAAGTTAAATTTGTAGAATGCTAAAAAAAGTGAAATGCTTTAAAATATTTTAAAATTTTTTACAATTAAAAATTTTGTGCAATGATTAATATTTGTAAAATGTATTTTTTATAACAAATATCATACTTTTCTAGATACACAATTCAATAATTTATTTATATTTAATAAATTTTATTAGTATGTTTCAACTAAATAGAAAGTCAGGAAAACTCATTCATTTTTATAAATTTAAAAATTAGATACCGATACAAATAAAATATTACCGCCGTTACCGACACACTATTGATATATTTTAGCGACCTCTTAGACATTAATACCTTTTTCCTACAACTACGTCTAGCACCGTTCTACTTCAAGAGCTTAGTCGGTAATATAGGAGGCATTTCATATAAGAACACGGGCTCATGTCTCGGATTTTTCTCAAAATTCGGTAAACTGTAATGATAGTGGTGCTCAATAAGTGTACAAATTTTGAATTTGAAATTTTTAATATTTTTCGAGATATTTACAATAACAAATTTGAGCAATATATTTTTGCTTTACTTATAACTTTTTTCCTACTAAAAATAGAGAAAAATGTTGTAAATGTTTTTTACGCAGAAGATCTTAAACTTTTAGAAAAAAATTATTTGTTTAAAAAAATATCAATTTTTAAACAAGTTGTTTAAAAAATAAAATTTGTTTATAACTTTTAACAATGTTCTCCCTCATTTAGAAACGCGAAAAAAATCATGAATTTTGTTTAAGTCATAATAAATCGATGGTTAAATTTTTGAGATGGCATTATTTTTTGTTTTCGAGAAATTAATTAATTAACTAACAAAAGTTATTAAAAAATGAAATATGTTACGAACAAATAAAATTAGAGTAATTTAAAAAACACCATTAGAATGCTTATCAAAATCCGAATCCAACGAGCACTATACTGCCCTACAACGGAAAAAGATACATAAGCCACAAATAGGTCGAACGGAGATATTTGAGAAAAACCATTTGCATCAAAAACTTCATTTAGAATTCATTTTTTATGAATAAAAATATCCCTAATGGGGTAAATCGGTTGTGCTCTTTCTATTTTTGCAAAAAAAATTAATTATTTAAACAATCCCTTTTAAAAAATGCACTTGCGTAGTTTTTTTAGTGCAAATACAACGTAAAAAGAACACAAAGTCGCTTGTGGTGTTTTTCGTTGTAAAGTCATCGAGCGGATCAAAGATGTCCAGCGAAGAATATACATAAGGGACAAGAGAGTATGGGATTAGAGTATGGCACTTGTGTATAGCCTCCACTGGACATCTTTGCTCCGCTCGATTATTTTACAAGCTAAGAAAATACACAAGTGCGCTTGCGAATATCGTTCTGTAGACGTAGCCGAGCTCGGCCGCTTTTTCAACGAAAAAAGATACATAAGCTACCTCGCGTATATTCTTCCATTGTATTTTGTGACGTATTTCATGCCTCCTACAGAATTTAGGCAACGCAAAGTACCTCATGTGTCTTTTTCCGTTGTATTTTCTCATTTTTCGCGAATTGCATTATTTTCAATATTAATTTTTTATTATAAATAATTAAAATTTTCAATTTTAATTACGATAGTCAGATGCAGTTTTTAATTACGAATCCATTGATACCAAAAACTCATTTTTGACCAAAATGTCACTTATGTATCTTTTTCCGTTGTAGGGCAGTATATGAACTCCCTGTGGGCAAAAAACCATGTTCGTTCTAAAAACGTTTTAAGGACGTTCTTAGAACGTTTCATGTCTGCCAAATAATGTTCTGGAACATTTTAAGAACATGGATGTTCAAATAATGTTCCAGAACATTATTTGGTGGACATGAAACGTTCTTAAAACGTTTTTAGAACAAACATGGTTTTTTGTCCACAGGGACTATTTTGGATAAACAGGTGTTAAATTAATAATTAATAATAAAAATTATTTAAATAATTAATAACATTTAAAGAAATGAAGATAAATCGTCAATTCCTTTTTTTAATGGGAAGATCATCTAATTCTGTGTCAAAAAAAGAATATTGAGTATTACCAAGAATCAAAAATTAATTATAAAATGTTATTTAGAAAAAGACTAAAAAATACAATGCCGAGTAGGTAGGCAGCCCCCTCCAACTTGTGTCGTAGAGTGCTGAAACCTCAATTTTCAATAATCATCTGTTAATAATTTAGATTTGTTAAAAATGTTATTTATACTTGTTTTATTTAACACAGAATTAGATGATCTTCCAAATAAAAAAAGAATTGACGATTTATCTTCATTTTTTCAAATGTTATTAATTATTTAAATAATTTTTATTATTAATTATTAATTTAACACCCGTTTATTAGAAATAGTTCACATAGGGCTCGTTGGATGCGGATTTTGATAAGCATTCTAATGGTGTTTTTAAAATTACTCTAATTTTATTTGTTCGTAAAATAACTTTTGTTAGTTAATTAATTAATTTCTCGAAAACAAAAAATAATGCCATCTCAAAAATTTAACCATCAATTTATTATGACTTAAACAATATTCATGAATTTTTCCGCGCTTCTAAATGAAGGAAAACATGTTTAAGAGTTATAAACAAATTTTATTTTTTAAATAAATTGTTTAAAAATTAATATTTAAAAAAAATAATTTTTTTTTAAAAGTTTAAGATCTTCCGCGTAAAAAACATTTACAACATTTTTCTCTATTTTTAATAGGAAAAAAGTTATAAGTAATGCAAAAATATATTGCTCAAATTTGTTACTGTAAATATCTCGAAAAATATTAAAAATTTCAAATTCAAAATTGGTACACTTATTTAGCACCACTATCACTACAATTTACCGAATTTTGAGAAAAATCTGAGACATGACCCCGTATTCTCATATGAAATACCTCATAGAACTCTTTTTTAACCTTTGCGCTATACTGAAGATTTTTCTATACGCGGACTACCGAAGGCAACCCGCGATAACCCAAACGTTTTTTTATTACTACCCACACAGCACAATATATTGCTGTAAGCTTACCTCAAGTTTACATGTATTTTTTGTAAGCTAACCCTGTAAGCTTTAGGTAAGGTCGAGGTAATATAAAAATGTCCGCCATACAGTAAGCTTAGACAGTAATGCCATGGTAAGCTTACATGGTAGGGGCACTGTAAGCTTACGCGGTAAGATCACTGTAAGGTTACAGTAAGCTTACACGGTAAGCTTATATTAATTGCTAACAAATAACAAAGTATTAATTTATCAACTTACAGTAAACAATAAATTGTTTTGCACAATTACATTTATTTTGTCATTTATATAAAAAACCCCGGTAGGGTTTGCTTAAAAAAATTTACTGCGCATTCGTAAGTGCCATAGAAAGCTACTGCGCATAAATATTTTAAAAAAATTATTTATTGATACCTTTGAAAACTTGCCGTGTAAGCTTACTGTAACCTTACAGTGACTTTGCCACGTAAGTTTACTATGACCTTACTGTGTAAGCTTACTGTATGGCGGACATTTTTATATTACCTCGACCTTACCTGAAGCTTACAGGGTTAGCTTACAAAAATTACATGTAAGCTTGAGGTAAGCTTACAGCAATATACTGTGCTGTGTGGGTATGTTCCTAAAATGACTTAAATTTATCAAAATTTTTTAATAAATACAAATAATGTATTTTA